AGCTCCTGGTGTGGGAACAGGGAACTTTTTATTGTCGTTTTTAAAATTTTAACTGAAATATAATTTACATACAATAAAATGCACAGATCTTAAGTTTACTCATTTGATGACTATTGTATACACCTATTAATGTGCACTTCAATCAAGATACAGAATAGTTCCATCACCCCCAGAATTTCCCTCCTACCCCTTATGAGTTAATTCTCACCCCAGAGGCAACCACTGATCTGCTTTCTATCACTATAGATTGCTTTTATTTATGCTTGACACTTTCCATCAAATTTAATGTTTTGAATGGATGGGCTGAAGATTGGATGAATTGATGGGATGGCATCTTGATAAATTTAATTAATATTTAGTAAATTGGAGTGAGGGCATGCAGTATATAAAACGCAGACAGTGTAATATGTATACTAAAGTGTATGCTGTATTGGGGGGCATCTGATCATTGATTCAAATACCCTGAGTCATCAAAATCATTATGGAACATTCAGGGAAAAAAAGAAGATATTTCATTTAGCATCAATTTACTATGGCATAGTGCTACAAAATACTAAAGAAAAAGGATTCACTTTTGCTTACCAAAAAAGGTGCAATAGAAAACAAAGTTGAGGGTTGCCACTAATAGACCTCCACTAAAGAAAACTCTAGAGGGTATTTTTCAGGCAAAGAAGTAAATGGTCTTGGGACGAATGCAAAAAGGAATAAAAAGCAACAAAATTGGTGAATATATGGGTAAAATGAAATGAATGAGGAGGTGTGTATGTGTGTACATATGCGTTTATACACACAGATATTACATATACATATGTATATAAACCCCATAATACATCACTATATTTTGAAATATATGTATATACATATATGAACAAAGTTTCTTGTAAAAAATTAACTTACAAAGACAATTTCTTGGAGAGAACTATAAAATACTGTTGAAAGTCAAAAAGGATGAGTTAAGACTTCAGTTCCAGTATCCTGCCCAGTAAGGAAGCGGTTAGCCAAAATGATGTCTGGAGGTTTAACTGAAGCCAAACCTGCCACTCAAGAAATCCAGGAGATTGTTAATGTGGTTAAATCACAGCTTGAATGAAAAACAAATGAGACTTATGAAGAATTCGAAGCTGTAGAATACAAAACTCAAATGGCCAAAGACTTGAACACTCATGTCAGAAAAGATATTTGTACACGGTGTTCATAGCAGTATTATTCATAGTGGCCAGGACATGGAAGCAACTGAAGTATCCTACAATAGATGATTGGCTAAAGAAGCTGTGGTACATATATACAATGGAATATTATTCAGCCATGAGTAAAGAGATGAAATACTGCCATTTGTGACATGGATGGACCTCAAGATAATCATACTAAGCGAAAAAGCCAGACAAAAGTTAAAAATCACATGATATCATTTATATGTGAAATATAAACCTAAAAGCAAAAAATGAACAAGACAAACAAACAGAGACTCATGGATGTGGACCATAGACTAGTGGTTACCAGAGGAAGTGGGAAGCAGGAGGTATACAGGGTAAAAGAGATCAAATATGTGGTGACAGAAAGAAATTTAACTATGGGAGATGAACGCACAGTATAAACATGTATATGCCTTACTGTTAAAGTGTACAGCTGAAACTATTGTATTTTGTTGACCAATGTCACCATAAAGCAAACAAACAAACAAACAAATAAATAAT